GATATTGAGCACTTTCCACTGTACTGATATATATATATATATATATATATATATATATATATATATATATATATATATATATAGTAGTGTTAAGAGACAGATGGCGCTGTTTATGAAGAACCAGCAGCATGGCCCGGCTTTGCCCTTGCTTGATTCAAAACCCGTACGACTCATACAGCAATCCCTATCACTTGACTTAAAATATTTTTGCCCTTCCTTGCCTTTAAAGGAGTGCCCTTTGCCGTGTTGATGTAGCTACATGCCTTACTTCTTGCCTATCTCACACTGCGAATTTTTCTATGCTCTATACTAAACATTAAATCTGTTACGAAAAAAGAACTAAACAATATGAACACAAAACTATCAGCTATAAAAAAGGACTCCTAACTGGAAAAACCGAGTGAAAAAAAGAATGTTAACAACAAATAATTTTTCACACCCAACCCAGTTCTGCGGAATCAGAATCAACGTCGAGTTTAAGCAAACGAATGAGCCAATTGGAGTAAAATGCCATGTAGATTTAAATTTTTCCCACTTGTGACGGATGTAGCTATCGATTTTTGGCAAGCTAGCATGCTAGTTAACATTCGTGTCAGTCAGTTGTTGGCTCTCACGCTGGCCAATGAATTCTTCCTGCCTATTCGTGGCAGCCAGCTATAGGCTCTCAATCTGGCTAGTAGAAAATGGCCACAAACTATATGAAAACTGCTGTAGAAGCATGAAAAAATAGATTATTTCCACTATCGATGGGAGTTTGGAAATGCAACGTTGATCTTGGCATTTCCTCTAACTTGGAGCATGTGCATGTAAATTTTGGTGCAAATCTGTCGAAAATTGTGGCCGTGCATTCGTTACATACACATACACATCCTGCTTTTTATAGATAGAGATATTGTGGTGAATATATCGATTAACAAAGTAGCGCTTTGTGAGAAGAAGCTCTTTGAGTGGACCTTGCAGCAGTGGAATACGAAGAAAATGAGACTGATTCACTGAATTATGCGTGGCATAGCGAGCCTTAAATGTGATGGTCAAAAGTAAAATATAGTTCTTCTAAACATTTACCATGAAAATAGCGATAGAGTAGCGTGTATCTTCCAAAATTTCATCTTTAGGAAAACTATCTGGATACAATTCATTACTCTCTGGGTTCCCGCAGACACCTTTGGACTTTTGGTAAGCTTCTCTCTTTATATGTTGGCAGAACTTCATTTACGACATGTTCTACCTCTCGTAATGGTAGAGGATAGCAAGTGTGGGCAAGTATTTACTAGAACGGTAAAGAGATCTGACCATTTTCTCAACATGTTTAGTGATGGATCGCATGCAAGATTTCTACTTGTGGATTGGGTTGTCCTTAAGTCTTTATGACTGAGACATCTGTGAGCAAATCTACGTTCATCGCGAGAGAAGAAAATTCATGTTCCGCTCGGGGATGATGGAACGTCACTAGTTTAATCGTTGAGACATTTTCCCCTACTGAGATGTTAGAGCTCGGTCAGAGGAGAGGTCAGCTGCCAGGTTCTGGTCATCTATATTTTTATAGGTGCACTCATACACTGTTGTGTCATCAGCATAAATATCGACAAAAAATTTGAATTATAATCTTAAGTAGATCATTAATAAATCGTTGTCCAGAGAAACGATACATAAGATCGCCTATTTTGATCACTTAGGCCTCAATGAAAACAAGACTTTCATTGATTCTATAGCTGGATAACACTGTATGCGAGTCCTTGGAAATATCGAATTCTATAGTCCTTGAGATTTATTTATTATTTCATGCCTAAATGATTAACTGAGAAATCACAGTTAGGATAGCAACAATGAATCAAGCTAGATCGAAATCCGTGCTGAATGTTGCTCAAAATGTTGTCTATATTGAGGAGGTCAACAATATTATAGCCTCGAACAGTTTGTTAATGTCACTGAGGTTGATGGATCGTTAATGAGACACGATTAGAGTTGATTCACATTTTTGAAAACAGGACATACATTTGTCACATTAAACAGATTTTGGCGGGGGATTTCTCCTTCAAGCGGCGTTTAATTAGTTTTGCTAAGATACGGGATAAATTACTGGCAGCCACTGAGATTTTTTTATGTGGCCCGATATATAGTGGAACATATGTCCACGTTTTTGAGTTATTAAATTTAAAGAAAGTTTACGGTAGGTGGCGCTGTATTGCCATGTATACACGGTTACATTTGTCATTCGTGTACATTTTTGGTTAGTCTGTCTTCAACGTTTAATGTGTGTAGTAATGAGTTAAATGAGCAGTTTTCCGTTTAAAAATTACAGGATATAGGTATTATGAGCAGGCAGATATGATTTTCACATATGACCTCGCGAATGGTAATAGACACGAGGCTGAACCAGATTGCTTTTGCAGACCGAAAGCAGCCGAGTCATCCGACCTTTGCTGTTGTTTATGGTTGTGTTCCCGAGGCCTGTCGGAGGCGATCCAGGTATCAGCACAGGTCAAGTGGACCTAGCATGTCGTACATCTAAGAGTCGCATAGGAAAAGTAATTCAAATGCAGCTTCTCTATCGGTATCATTTGCAAGGTGGGCAGGTACTTTCTTTCGTTGGTCTCTTCAGTGTTATTTATAGATAGAGCAAAATTTGGAAGAGATGGAATAACAAATTTACACAAACAACATTTATAAGTGATTAGGAATCCCATTGTACAATACACGCTAGACACTATCATCAAGGTTCATAAGCAGTAAATTCGACCTTGCCAACCGAACGATCCTTTGTGGCCGAGAGGTTAGGCACGTCAAGCTAAAATGACGGTTCCGTATAGGATGCAGGTTTGAATCCTGTCAAAACACGAATATTTTCTATGAAAATTTCTCGGACATTCAGGACGGTAAATGTTATTTAATACTGTTTATTATAAACAGAGCATTTACTTAAATACTTGTATCTATAAAAAGAATGTTAAACATAAAAATGTCTTTAACATATATATATATATATATATATATATATATATATATACACACTACTGCTACTATAGAAACGAGATTAACCAAAATGTTAACATAAAATCGGCTATTCTGATCAAAGCAGAAAATAATTCACTTCGATTTAAAGTCTACAGAGTGCTTTAATCATAACGCCATCGAGAGTAAAATTTGCGCTCTGGCCCTTACAATATTTCACCATTCATGAAAGACCTTGTAATATCACAGTGCTTAATGATGCATACAAATGTAATGGAAAGAAAAAGAATCTAAATGATCCCGGCTAGATAAAAAAGAAAAAAAAATCTAAAATTTCCAACAGGCCTCTGTCGTGCTGATGCGGGACCCTACCAATGAAATAAATCTAGACCTATGACGCCCTGAAGGACGCAAGGCGTCAGAAGTAAATGTTTCCACTTTGTCATACATTTTCCTTAATACATACATACATGCATGCACAAACATATATACATATGCATACATATATATATATATATATATATATATATATATATATATATATATATATATATGTCTGTAGGTGTTTGTATGTGTGTCTGTATTTTATTTCATATTCGCAGTACTTAGTGGAAAGCGCTCAATATTAGTGATAGAGCTAACATATTCAGTTGTATGGATATGAGTTTGTGACCCTGGGTTTCACGCTTTTGCGATTAACAGACAAAGTATGATTTTGTCTGATAATCAGAAACGCAGGAAACCCAGGGTTACAAACTCATATCCATACAACTGAATATTTAAGCTCTCTCACTAATATTGAACCTTTTTCAATAAGCACTGCATATACAAAATAATATATATATATATATATATATATATATATATATATATATATATATATATATATATATAATATATATATATAATACAGGAAGTGAGTGAAAATGGTTTTCCTTGAGTTGGCCACTAAATTTTATCCTTTTCTTTGAACCACAGACAAGCGTGACAGTCACTTAGTCGTACATTTCCCTCTTCATTGTTTCGGCTTCACATTCTTCTTTCCGCAAATATCTTTTAGTTTATATGTGTTTCACAGTTGACATACGATAAGGGCGTGTCTCATACTGCGGCAAGCGACTCTTTTGCCAATTTCTTCTATATGACGCACTCTTTCAAACCAAATTGATACATTTACATACGTAATAACCACACCCATAATCGCCCACTAATTTCCTCTCTTTTGTTCGCATACGTGCACCTTAGTTTTTCTATGAAATAATTCTATTTAGATCGTAAGAATCGAAAGATACTCCCCACCAAACCATTTTTATCGCACGACTAAATCAAGCCCTACGAAAGTCATGTACTTATTTTATATATTTATTGGATATGCTTTTGTCTTTTCATAGTAATAATTTCAAAGAGTAAAAGATGTCGTCAGTACTGTCTTTCCAATATTTTTTTAATATCTCCCACTCCCTTTGTAAGATGTAATTTTCATTGTAACAGCTTTTTTTACCCAAGAAGGGCTGCTTTGTTGAATCGTCTCTTGGTAGGATGTTTTCCAATCATTGCAATCTAAATCTTTTCAAGTCTTGAGTTAACCGTTAACTACAATTTTCTGCATAGACTCATGAGTTTCGCATTTTGCCTTGTCATAAGCTCATACATCACCGCACCAATCATCTATATTGAGTGCCTCTTCGTCCTTGTATTGGCTGAGCGTTTGCATTAAAAATGCATCTCTCTCTCTTATATACTGATTATGCATCAAATCTCATTATTATTTGTTAACTTTAAATGTATTATGTTATATTGAAACTTTTCGTGTCTTCTCAACATGCGAATATTTGTATTCTTAAATCGTGTGTATGTGTGCATTATTAAATATTATCAAAGATCTCTTACTAAGAATTTTAATGAAATCTCACATTGCCATATTTCATATAATGTTGTAATTATACATCAGGTCGAGGAGGTTGTGCATCGCGTTTCTCATATTCAGTAAGGAACTTATTCTTAACTTTCTATGTCTAATAAAATGACAAATATATATGACACGATTGATGAGGTACATTCAGAGGGAATTCGTGATTCTCTTCTTAATCCTGAAACATCAATATGATCTCTCTCTCTCTCTCTCTTTATCTATCAATCGATCTCCCCCATCAGAATTTATATCTATCTGTCTATATGTCTCTGTCTGTCTATCTGTCTCTCTGTCTCTATCTGCCTTTCTTTGTCTGTCTCTTTGTCTGTATCTCTGTCTCTCATTCTATATATCTATCTATATCTGTCTGTATGTCTGTCTCTCGCTATCTATCTGTCTATCTCTTTATCTGTCTCTTCTGTCTCTCTCTGTCCGTCTCTCTTTTTGTATCTCTCTCTTTTTCTGTCTTTGTTTGTCTGTCTCTCTGTCTTTAATTCTATATATCTCTGACTGTCTCCCTATCTGTCTGTCTCTCTATCTGCCTTTCTCTCTGTCTCTCTATCGATTTTTCTATCTATCTATCTATCTATCTATCTATCTATCTATCTATCTATCTATCTATCTGTATATATCAATCTCGACTAATCTATCTGCCCATATATATATATATATATATATATATATATATATATATATATATATATCAATCAATCTCTATCTATCTATCTATCTATCTATCTATCTATCTATCTATCTATCTATCTATATATATATATATATATATATATATATATATATATATATATATATATAATAAAAAAGGCTTAAACACTAATATTATGCCTTTTTATTATATGCTGACACTGTCCTGGACATTGAGTTCTACCTGGATTCTATCCTCTTGGAATTTTTATTCAAAAGTATACATGTATGTATGCACCTATGTATATATATTTTGCATATGTATGTGTATATTTACCACTATTATATATATATATATATATATATATATATATATCAGTCTCCATTTACAAATGTATATATATCAATATCTCTCTCAATATCAATCTTTCTCTCTCTCCTCCCTCCCTCTCTCTCTCCCTCTCTCTCTCTCCATATATATATATATATATATATATATCGAATTTTAATCCTGTCTGTCTCAATTCTACCGTTTTATCATTTGTTTCCCTCTATCTCTTTATCTTCTCTGTGTTTGTATATGCATGTATGCGCGCTGTATATTAGTATGTTCGTTTGGAAATGTGTCAAATAAAAGCAAATATAAAAACAAAAACTCAGACATAGGAAATACTGTATCGCTAACTTCCAAAGCATTCAGGCAATAATGTGTCCCATTATCTTTGATTCGAATTATCCCCAACATCTCTCTTCCCTCACCCAAGCAGTTTCACTAGCCTTTTGCCTTTGTCGTCACTTCCAGTCAAGCAGGTCATGACGTTGCCTCTGTGGTTGAGGACTGACGCCGCCATCTAAAACATCTCTCGCTATCTCTTTCTGTTTTGTTTCCTTCACTTTACGCCAAATTCGTTCGGCCCGTTTGTTCTTTCTTTTTGAGTAGACGTCTTGCTTGAAGGCATTTTTCGGCTGCTACACAGAAGTGCTTTCTTCTCAGCGTCCTTAACGCAATCGCCGTCATAACAAAACCACTAGTACATTCAACTTCACTATTTCATCCGCACAGAAGACTTTTTTTCCTTCCATTTTTTTATTCTTCTCACTTTCCTTATATATATATTTTTGTCGAATTTTTTCTCTCGTGCGTCATTTTGATTCATTTACCTTCCATCTATGCTTCGACACGATGACAATATTACTTCATCATTGCATTTTTCTTAGTTATTTTCCACAGTCGTTACTTTAAAGAAATATATTTTGTTTACATATAACTTTCCTCACATTTTTCGACTTGTTTATCAATAAATCTATTTACCTTTATATTTTGCCTTTCCCCTCAACTTATTCTTAAAACTATCTGACCTTTCTTTTCCTAATTCCCTCTAATTTCTTAATATATCCTTATTTCTTCTTCCTTTCTTCTTTACTGCTCTTAAGATCTGTCGTTTTTGTCATTCGTCATGAAATGGCGGTTAAAAAATCGCTATTTTTTTCCGTTTATCCCTGTCTTTTCCATTATTTTGAATGATCGCTGATTTTTTGGCGTTTATCCTCGTCTTTTCAGTTACTTTGTATGATCGTTGATTTAAATTTTTGCGTTTATCATTGTCTTTCCACTATTTTGAATGATCGCTGATTCCAAAATTCTTGTGTTTATCCTTGTCTTTTCTATTATTTTGAATGATCGCTGATTGAATTTTTTTGCTTTTATCCATGTCTTTTCCATTAATTTGAATGATCGCTGATTCAAAATTATTGCGTTTATCCATGCCTTTTCTATTATTTTGAATGATCGCTGATTCAAATTTTTTTGTGAAATAGTTTCTAATTTTCGCGTTCTAAATTTTCCAAAAGTTAAGCAAAATGTCATAAACAGGAAAACTTTGTCAGAAACAAAACAAATGGCGGCGCTGTACTGTTATGCAACTCCAGACCTCCGATATGACAGTGTATTCTGGGCAGTCTCTTTAGTGATGAAGATGACACTTGAGGCAACATAAATGTGGTGCTATCGAAAGATGCTGAGAATGTCATAGATTGAACATGTGAATAACGAGGAAGTTTTAAGAAATGTGACAGTTATACTTAGAATCAAAGAGAAGATTTTTGGAAGGCAATGAAGAAAGGATAAACTGGAAAAATTGCGCACTTAAAAGACATTGAAGGCAAAAGATACAAAGAAACGTCGAATGACCCACCTAACCAGCTTATGTAAATAATTGGCAGAACAGGGAACAGAAGAAACAGTAAAAAGACAAATCTTATAAAGAACTATATATGTCAGGAATTTGTGGAGAGCAGTGATCGCCAACGTCATCAAAGGGAATTTCAAATGGACGATACTTACTTTCCTCCATATTTCTACTTATTTCCCATTTGCAAACTTTCCTTCAATATACACTTCGTTAAATAAAGTTCCTTAAATTACACTTGAATATATTCGTCATTTCCTCCCACTGTCGTCATTGAAAACACTCTCGCTCATTTTTTCATCTGTTGACTTGCCACATGTTCTTCATTTCAACACATTTCTTCCCCCCCACTTTAAGTCGAAGTTCAGTCCTCTCTTTTTCATGTTTTGATTCGCTTATTTTGCATGCTTTTCTTCTCTTTTTATTTTCAATTACCTCGTACGATTTTTTTTTTTTTTTTTTTTTTTGGTATATGTTTTTGCTAGCCGAAACATTCCATTTCATCTTCGTCAGAACGTTTTAATTCACCTCATCAAACGGTTGCCTTTCCTAGCCTGCTAATGTGTTTCTTTATTTTTGCTTCTCTTTGATCGACTCATCAATTTTGGTGGCGAGGGAGTGTTGACGATCTTGACACATCTTCCCTAAGTAGAGTCTGATTTTTACCGCCTGAGACAATTTGCGAAAGACGAATTGGAAACGCGTAAAATCTAGAAGCATTCAGAATGCTACAACAATTGTCATTATCACTGCCTTAATTTTTGACTTGCCAACACGTCCCCTCACGCATTTTATACACTTGAATTCGTATTTCTTTTTATGTGTCGTGTCCCTTCGGGACGTGGGCGATCATAGTTTTCTATTTCTCCCTACCTCTTGTATCTCTCAATGTTTCGTCCCTCTGCCACCACCCCAAGATCACGTTCTGTCTTTCACATGCTTAAGTTCGCCAGGTATGCAATGCATTGGTTTCACTTGTTTCTGTTTCCTTCTATTTGACCTGTGAGTATCAAATTCTCCAGGCCCACTTTTCTCATCACAGATACATACTTTATAGTAATTTAAACACGGTATTTATTGTCTCCCCATTGAGACGAGAAGTAACACAAGGTCTTTTTTAAGGTAGGGGACCCAAGCGCGAACACCTGGGCAAGGAACAAAAACTGCCCACAGCCCACGTAACCGTCGCTTGTGCTGGCCTCGGTGCAAGCACCGATCCCTCTCTCTGGTGTCATGAAAGGTCGCGGCCTCGAGCAGCTGTTTCCCAGGGCTGAGCAACTCTCAGTATAATTTTTCTCAGTTGCAACTCTGTCCTTTGACAGAGTTGCAACTGAGCGCACTCTGCCCAAAGACAGAGATGCAACTGATAGATGATAAGTAATGTGTTTGAAACTACTCAAAAGAGTAATTTTCACGGTATTTACTTGACCCCCCCCCACACACACGAGGTCAGGTTGTGACACAAGATCGGTTTAATGTGGGGAGCCCGAGCGTGTGCACCCGGGCAAGGAACGAAGATTCCCCGAGCCCCCGCAACCGTCGGTGGCGCTGGCCTCGGTGCATGCATCTCTCTAGTGCATTGAGAAGGCGCGACTTCGGGACGCTGTACCCCAGGGCCAGGCACCTCTGTATAATTTTCCTCAGTTGCCCCTCTGTCCTTTGACAGAGAAGCCCCTGGGTCCACTCTGTCCAAGGACAGAGACGCAACTGAGAGATGATAAATAATCTGCATAAATTACTTAGAGTAATTTACGCGGTGTTTACTCATTCCCTCACGAGAATGAGATGTGACACAAGGTCGGATTAATGTGGGGACCCGAGCGCGTACACTCGGGCTGGGACAAAATTCCCCTCAGCCCCCGCAACCGTTGGTTGCGCTGGCCTCGGTGCGAGCACCGATACCTCCCTCTTGTGCAATGGGAGGGCGCGGCCTCGGGCAGCTGTTACCCAGGGCTGGGCTCCTCTTCAGCATATTTTTCCTCAGTTGCACCTCGATCTTCAAACAGAGAAGCCCCTGAGCGCAATCTGCCCAAGGACAGAGACGCAACTGAGAGATGATAAGAAAATGTGAAATTACCCTAAAAGAGGAATTTACACACGGTATTTACTCTGTCTTCCCACTAGGACGAGATGTGACACAAGGTCTGTTTTTAGGTGGGGACCCGAGCACGTATGCCCGGGACAAGGACAAAAATTTCCCCCTGCCACCGCAAACGTGGGTTGCGCTGGCCTCGGTGCGAGCACCGATCCCTCCCTCTGGTGCAGTGGGAGGGCGCGGTATCGGGCAGCTGTTCCCCGGGGCTGGCCACCTCTTCAGTATAATTTTCCTCAGTTGCCCCCTCTGTCCTTAGACAGATAAGCCCCTGAGCGCACTCTGTCCAAGGACAGAGACGCAACTGAAAGATGATAAATAATGATAATAAAATCACTCCAAGGAGGAATTTACACACTAAAATCTCAATATCTGCATTATATATTATCTACTTCTAGGAATATCACTCTTCAGATTTAATTAATTTGAATATTGATTTTAAAAAAAATATTATTTCATTAATTAACTTCCTTCATTACTGTTCTTTTATTCAAGGATTGTTTTGATTTTCATATCAAAAATTGTTCTGTTTAGGAATATCGTCTTATATGGCAGACAAGTGTCTGAAATTTGCATTTTACTTATCCTTCAACAAAATGGCGTCTATTTGTAAAACTTTGTCTAATTTATGAATGAAATGTTTCTTTAATTTTTTGTTTCAAATAAGGAGTATGTCTTACTTTGGGAAGCGATAGGGAGGG